GTGGATACCCAGCTGTACTGACGGTTTTGGGGCTTGCTGGCGGATTCGACTCCGAACTCGGGCAGGCGAGTTGAGCGAAGAGCAAATTTCCGCCATCCTGATCGCTCCTGACTCATGCTGGCGAGTCGACCGTTAGGCGAACCTGGATTTGAGCCCAGTCGACGTCTACGCGGTTTAGGTTCGTGTCAGAGAACTGGGCGTGCGAACTCTTCTCGTAGACAAATTCCCTGTAGACCCATAGAGGTATTTTTTACCGTCTACAATACCAAAGAAAACATGTCAAAAAAACTGCCCGAAAACCCGCTGTTCGGATCCACACCTGCTCTGTCTCGGATCACCGCGAGACACTCTGAGGTGTCTCGGGTGGCGAGACACCTCAGGGTGTCTCGCGGTGGTGAGACACCTTGGGTGTCTCGCATGAGCGAGACACTCATGAGCGAGACACTTTCAGGTGTCTCGCTCACAATTTTCCACCTCGTATATCATTTGATAAACATTAAATTTTAGATGAACACCAGAAAAACACTGCGAACATCACAAGATAGATCTAAAACATCAAACCAGGCCAAACCAGCTTGTCACGCCCTGCTTTCCAAAATACCTAGGAATCGGGACGTGAACAAGCATGCGACATATTTGATTGAGGAGAAATAAATACTAAACCCTTTCTATTCAATCTAATACGTTAAGCATCAAATAATAAAATGCGAAGTCACAGATCCTCGATCACAATTAGCAAGAATATAATAAACAACTTAGAACAGAAATGATCCATATCACAAATAAAATATCATCCGAGACACAAGGTTCGGGTCAATCATGCCCTTATTACAAAACAGACTAACTAAATACTGAAGAAAAATGAAAATACATCGTCCAACAGAGATAGAAAGGAAATACTATAAAAGTAAACTAAGTCCATCAACCGACTAAAAGGAAAAAAATAAAATAAAATAAAGCTAAGCTTCGGCTTCTTCTTTAGCTCTATCTGCAAAACTTCCTATTGAGGATATTCTGACTGTGGCGTGTCTCCAAGCTGGACCTGTACGTCCTCTAAATCTGATGTATAACCCGAGAGAACAAGAGCACGTCAGCGTGCATGGCACACGGCAAGATCCCACAAGGGAGAATAGAAAGGGTCGAATGCCCAATGCAATGACAGTAATAATAATAGAAACATACGACTAGAATTCTAACAGTCTAGATGCAAACCATTACTAGAGTATAACAAAAAAAATTAACTGGGTAACGAGGTCATGCAACTAGCCATCCTATAATAGGTCATTGGTTCATATCTCACATAGAGTCAACGTTCATATTCTCGGATGACTGACTGTTCATAAATCCCCTACGTACATCCAATCCCGCTACACATTCGACTAGAGGTCTACACACAATCCGATTTCGGCCTAGTCCGAACTCAAGCAAAACTCGGGTGAATAAATTTCACTGACCAAAGTGACGACACCGATTCACTTTGACCCAACAAACCAACCCTAGTGACGACACCGATTCACTGCTACGAGCTTGGAAGATATATCAACAACCATATCCGATCACATGAACTATGACTTTTCCATCCCAACTCTTCTTGTTTTTCTAAGTCAACAAATATGACCTACAATAGATCTCTGGTCCACATCCTAAGTTAGTCAACGCGCACACACATGTCACTAAGTCTTGTTCATGACGCGCAAAACCACTAAGTCATGAACTACTAATGGTTCTTAATTGTAACAAGGAAATAGTAAATAAATACAACCAATCTTGTGCAACGATATCATGGCATGTCAAATAATTAAATCTAAGAATCATAAATTATAAGCAGCATCCATATAATTTAGAAATAATCTTTTCCAAAATAATTTCTTTAAATTTATTTATCCTCAAAATTATTCTAAAAATAATCTTTAAACATATTTTTTTTTCTGTATGAACAGTAACCATTTCTATTTTGAAAAATATTTCTCATCATTTAATATCATTTATCAAACAATCCTACGTAGAATATCACAATATAAATATGCTACAACATAATCATATCGCAGACTAATCTATGCATAAACTTAATTAAATTCATAACGGATCTAAAAATTGTAATGACGAATCAAATGAGAAAAGGGATCTTTCTTACGAGGCCAAGGGCCTGTGAACGAGGTGACGACACCATTGCGGGTGTGGTACGGCGGCTCTGGAGTTGATGGCGACGAGGGGGAAGAGTTGGATAGCGGGCGATGTGGCGTTGGATCTTGTCGGAGGGGCGACGGCTGAGTCGAGGCTTGGACTGAGCGACAAGGAACGGGTGGAGGTTAGGCTGAGAGAAGAGGAAGAGCGGCTCAAGGAGACGAGGAACAGCGGGCTTGGGCTGAGCGCGGGTCAGACGGAGCTTGGAGGGAACGGAGGAGGGCGAAGTGGTGGCTAGAGCGAGGGAGGAGGCGGTTTGGGAGGCTCGGAGGAGTTTGGAGGAGAGGTTGAAGAGACAGAGATGGAGGCTCGGCATTGCAGATCTGGGTGGTCGGGTGGCGAGAGGGGAGGTGATGGCGAGTTGGGGAAGAGGGAGCTTGGCTGGGCACGGATCTGGGTGCGAGCCAAGGTGCAGGGTTGGTGAGCGCTGGCGACAGGGCCGCATGGAGCTGGCTCACAACTGAGGTTGGGCGGCGCGAGAGGAGGGCGTTGGTAGCGTTGGTTGTTGGGGTAGATGGCGAGCAGGGTTCGGGTGGTCGGAGCTGATGGGGTTTGTTAGTGTTTGTGATGGAGAGAGAGAGAGAGAGAGAGAGAGAGAGAGAGAGGAAGAGAGAGAACGGTGTTGAGGGAGAGAGAGCGTATTAGTGAGAGAGAGAGAATGAGAGTGAGAGAGGGGGACTTTTGAGGGAATCAGGGGGAAACACCAAGCGGAAAATGATGAGGGAATTGAGGAGGGGATTACAGAATTTTAGGAGGGGACTTTTGAGGGAATTAAGGAGAAAATTAGGGAGAAAAATCAAGGTGGGGTACATTTCCACTATGAATTATCTTCTCCTGAGTGACAGTGGTGAGCAAGAGAGCTATGAGGAGGTACAGCAGATCGACAAAGCTCAAGGTGAGTGGAAGTCTGCCATGGAGGAAGAAATGAAATCCTTGACAAAGAATGGGACTAGGGAGCTCGTAAAGCTTCCAAGAGGGCGAAAAGCTCTTCATAATCGGTGGATTTATCAGGTCAAGGATGAAGCCAATGGACAGAGACGCTACAAGGCGAGGCTTGTAGTGAAGGGCTATGAACAGAAAGCAGGGGGGGGGGGTGAATAGGATAATTACTAATCTAATCTGATTTTGATGCCAAATAAAAACTTAGAATGCAATATTCTAGCAATATGATATGCAAGAAAGATATGCAAGGATAAGTGATGCGGCATAAACATGTACCAAAAATGTTGCAAGTGCACAACCGTGTCAAGTTATAGTATAAAGATATCGATCCCACGAGGAAGGTGTTTTGTAGGAGAAAATATAAAATCGGTTCTTATGTTGTGTGCGTGACAAATAGGAGTGATGAGTGAATGTGATTGTGAAGAGATTGAGAGAGTGAAAATGGTGTGTAAATAGGCGCAAAATGTAAGTGAGAGTGGATGTGACAAAGAATGAATGTGATCAATAAGACAAGAAGAAAAAATCAAGAAACAAATAAAAATCAAGAATAAAAAATAAAATTCAAGAATAAAAGAAAATATAAGAAATTAAAGATGGTGGATTCAATTATAGATATGGGTAATCTAAAATTGAACCCACTTCTTAGAAAATGGTGATTCCCTAGAGGGTTCTAGCCTAAAGGCGAATCAAACAAAATAAAAATAAACAAAAAGAAAAACTAAACCCAAGAGGGTTCTAGCCTCAAGGTGAATAGTGCAAGAAATTAAAATCTAACTACAAAATAAATTGCAAAATCTAAACTACAAAATTTATTAATTGTAACAAAAAGTTATAAATTTGGAAGACCTTCTCAATTAAGAGTAGCCCTCCTCTCCAAAAGGAGTTACAAAAATTTTCACACCTCTAACCCCTCACTTTCTACCCCTATTTATAGTAAACATCAGTGAATGAGAGCCATTGGATTAAAATCTTATCCAAAAACAACAAATTTCAGCCTTAGATTCGTAACTAACTGTCCAGTGTATCGATACCAGGATCGATATGGGTATCGATGCTGGCATCGATACAGGCATCGATGCGGGCATCGATGCCCCCATCGATGCAGGCATCAATGCCTGCCCTTCTCCTGTTGCTGTCCGCAGAGTTCCTCTTCCATTGGCTTTTGGGCTTGGATTTTGGGCTTTTGAGCTTCTTGATTTCTTCATGTATTTATTTTGATTTTAACTTTGAGCTTTGTCATTTCTTGGGCTTTAATCTTTGGATAATTTGGAAATTGATTTTCCAATGTGCTTCTTTGCTTCATTTCTTCATTTAATCAATGGGTTTTTGTTGAGAGATGGGAAGTTGAGATTTATTCTTCATTAACCTGCAATTAAAAGATAAAAATAATTATTAGTGGTATATTTATTCATATAAAATAGATAATGAGGGTATAAAATTGTAATAAAATGTGATTATCAAATACCCCCACACCTAAACTTTTGCTAGTCCTCTAGCAAAGAAAGAAAAAGAAAATCCCAACTCACTTTCGCAGGAATTGCGGTTGTATTTAGCGCATACAACAAGTCTTTAAACCCCTAGGTTACCCTAGTGGACGAGTTGTAGTCTCGTGAGGGTTTGCAGTGAATATACCCATAAAATTAGGTCAACTTGCCAAATTAAAGAAGTCAGTAAATAACTAAATTCACTTGATAACTTTAGATAATCTAATTGGAGCTAGTTATCACCCAAGAAAACTTTTTTATATATAACTTTAAGGTATATTTTCAAGAAAATCTTCTCATTGTAGCAATACAAAACCAAGCCAAACTTAGAAATTTAATTTAAAAGTTTTGAAAAGAACATGCTAACTCTTTGTTTTAAATAATTTTCAAGTTGCTTGATTTAAAATATTTTCCAAGACCATATATACAACTATAAACCATTTAAAAAAATTATTATTTTTCTTTTTATTTTATTTTTTTAACTCTTTCTTCCTTGGTGATTTTTTTTACTTTAACGGGCTTTCTAAGTGACCATTTAATGAGTTTTGGGCCAATGGATCCCAACCCAAATGGGCTTAGGTCATTAAGTATGAAAATACTCCTTGGGCTTAATTACTCGGTCAGCTTAGGCTTTATAAGATAGAATCACCTTGAATTCAAGAGTTTTTTTTTTCTTTTTGGTGCCCATTTGAAAAATATATAAATCAAGACATTTTGAAAAATTATTTTCAACTCTAAGTTAGGCATGTAAAAAATTCATTATTTTAAATAAAAGTCCAAGTTAAGGCTTAAGTAAAGTATACTACTTTGAAAATCATTTCTTAGGAAATTTATTTAGAGTTATCATAAAAGGTGAACTTAAGTAAATAACCAATTAGGGATTAGAAAATTTCAAATTTATCAAATAAATCAATTATTACATAACTCTATCAATTTGGCAAGTGACGATATTTTTATAATTTTTTTTTAAGAAAAAGGGAAAAAAGTAACTAAAAATGTAAAATAAAGAGAAAAATAACTAATCTCACCCCCACACCTAAATTTTGTATTATCCTCAATGCAAACTCTATGATGCATAAAGTAAAGCAGATAAGAAGTGAAGCACTTACATTTGGTCGGCTGATAAAAATCTGCAATTATCTTTGGTCTGAGGAGGATGAAATCAAAAATTTATTCTTCTGTTTCTTTTTTTTTTTTCTTTTTTTCTTTTTTTTTACAACTGAACAAGAAACTCTCAAATGAGAGAAGAATAAATTATTTTTATTATTCTGACATAAACAAAATAAACAATGTAGAATGAAATATTCAACATGAAGAGTTCCTGTTCTACATTGAATCCTACCTTATTGCTGAAAATTCTTCCCCGGATTTTAAACAAATTCAGAATGATATAATCAATAATGTGAATTTCCAAGCATTTCGGGGTGTTCAGTAATTCTTGCAACAAAGTAAGGTAGATATTGTTGGTGTCATGCATTTTGCATTTCTTAATGAACTTAGACTCTTGTACTGTGAAGTTTTGTTTTCTAACAACCAATTCTTCTGTGAAGTTCTGAAAATTTGGTTGTTGATTATTCTCCAAGAATCTAAGTTCATCAAGAAAGAGTTCTTCAAAATTTAATTCAAAGCAGCAAATGTTTAACACAGTTTTATTATTCTCAAGGACCTGATCTGCTTCTTCTAAAAACTCTAACTCTTCATCAAAAATTTCCTCAAAACTCAAATCAGACTCTTCTTCTTCTTCTTCTTCTGAGCTTTCCTGAATGTAGTTTATTTCTAGAGGCTGATTATTTGGTTGGTCCCCTGGATTAAAAATGTTAAGATCAGCAGTCAAATTCCTAAAGGACAGCTTCATTTGACCAGTTCTACAGTTGATGAGAGCATTAGAAGTGGCTAAGAAGGGTTGTCCTAAGATGACAGGTTTCTGTCCTTTGGGATTGGAAACAGGCTGTGTTTCCAAGACTACAAAATCTACTGGAAAAATAAAATCTCTAACCTTAATCAGAACATCCTCTAACTCACCCATAGGGACCTTGATAGATCTATCAGCCAACTGTAAGGTGCATTTGGTTGGGTTCAGTACACCTAGACCTAATTGCTGATAGACTGAATATGGAAGCAAATTGACACTGGCCCCTAAGTCTAAAAGCGCCTTATCAATGTGAGTATTACCAATGATACATGAAATGATGGGGGAAAACCTGGATCTTTACGTTTCAAATGTATGGGATTTGATAGTATTTCACTGATATTGGCGGCTAAAAAGACTTTCTTTGGGACATTTATTCTCCTCTTCTTAGTGCACAATTCTTTTAAAAATTTAGCATAAGATGGAATTTGTTCAATTACATCTAAGAGAGGAATATTGACCTTAACCTGCTTGAATGTTTCTAGGATCTTCTCCTCCTGAGGAGAGTGTTTCCTAGACCTGAGTCTGTCTGGAAAGGGAGCAACCGGTCTAAATCTATCAAAAGCAGGCTCAGGTTCGGGTTCAGGTTCTTGGTCATCTGAGGGGAGTGATTGTTGAATAGATTCATCAGAAGGAGAAGGAGAAGGAATTTGTATAGGATCAGGAGTTTGACTTGGAGGAGTTCTCACTTGATTATCGACCTGTCTACCTGACCGAAGTGAATGGATTGCATTCACTTGAGCTTCATAGGATGAACTGCATCCTGTGTTATTAGGGTTGACCACGGGTTGACTCGGAAATTTTCCTTTCTCTCTTTCACTCACGGCACTAGCTAGTTGACCAAGTTGGGATTCTAATCTAGCTATAGCTTGAGTGTTGGAGTTGAGCATTTGTCCGGTTGATTGCATGAAGGAATTCAACGTGCTAGATGTTTGAGTCAACATATTCGTGGTTTGAGTAGAGGCCTTAATTATGGTTTCTAAACCCCTTTCCAAGACATTGAGACGTTTATCTTGATCTGGATTGTGAGGAGTTTGAATTACAGCTTGATGAGGAGGAGACTGATTTTGATACGGCAGATTGGGTTGTTGAAATTGTGAATGAGAATTGAATGGAACTGTGTTTCCCCTAGGAAAATGTTGGGTCGAAGCGGGAGTGAAGTTTTGAGTTCCGGGAGAATTTCCTTGATTCCATGCAAAGTTGGGATGATTTCTCCACCCTGGATTGTAGGTTGGAGAAAATGGATCATTTCTAGGGTGCTGGAATACAGCGTTCATCTGTTCTAATGCATTGTTGTTTCCTAGGAGAGGGCATTCCTCTGAAACGTGGGTAGGAGACTGACAATTATGACATCCTGAGGCAGAAATATTATTGATTTGAGCTGGAGCTCGTTCCTTAATTTCTAAAGCTTCTAACCTCCGTAGAATCGTCGCCATCTTCGCTTCAGAAGCAATGTTTGACTCTAAGGAAAGACCACTAGACTTAGATTGGGGAACTGATGAAACCCTATCATCGCAGTGTTCCCATTGCATTGTTTTTTTCAGAAAGACTCTCTAAAAACTCTCAAGCTTCATCAGCGTTTTTCCTCATAAAATCCCCGTGACACATTGATTCTAAGGAAGTTTTTGCAGAATAATCTAATCCCTCATAAATTATTTGGCACAATCGCCATTTTTCTAAACCGTGATGAGGACATTGGATGAGAAGATCTTTAAATCGGTCAAAATACTTCCAAAAAGGTTCTCCCGGGATAATTTT